ACCGTACGAGTGTTCTACAAACCAAGCTATCCAGCCCTATGTTGGTGGTTCTTCCCATTTGTCAATATCTGTGTTCGGGGGGGCAAACTTGTTAAAAGTGAGGTTCAAAACAGCCACTGGGTTGACTGAACAGTGCTGGTATCTTGGCTGCCTGAATGGGAACTCCATTCAATTTTTAGTGTAATAGTTACAAGCTTTTTTTTTCATGTAATAGTTACAAGCTTTTTTTTCATGTAATAGTTACAAGCTTTTTTTTTCATGTAATAGTTACAAGCTTTTAGTCCTCAAAAGAAGTAGTATCAAAGTGTCTAGAGTCTTTCCAAATGGTAATTATTTGCAAATTTTGAAGAACATATATAGCATGTCAATAACTTAATGTAAACATGAATGTTTTTAAATTTGCATTAATATGAGCCAATGATAAAGAACAAATGTGTTAAAAAGTAAACTGACCACTTTTCTATCTAATTTACAGAGTACCTCTTAATTCATGAATAATTTGGATGCAAGTACAGTACAGCATTACTATACTGAATGATTCGGTATATGGAACATGTCTCTTGGCTCCCAAATTTTCTGTGCACTTTTACTGAACATCACAAATTTGCTTTAAATTAAAAAAAAGAAATTAGGACTGATGACAGTGACTCAAAAGTTCAGATGTCAATAAACTCCGAAATTGGAACAGCCATGTTATGAGCCCATAGCAAAACAAGCTGCTGCACAAGAGAATCTGTTTTACACGAACAAGAACACACATGTATGTACATGTATGTGTAACAAGTGACATTTCAACATAGGAAATAGCACCCTCTTTTTTTCTGCAAATAACGCTCTCTTTTGCCAGGATATTTCCCCTTTTTTATGGAAATGGGAACATTTTGATTTTTAGGCCTCATGCAAGGATTGGAACAGTACCAATGAAATCGTAATAGTTGGGGAGGTATGCTACACCAAGCATTGTGTATGGACCCCGCCCTGTTCATTATAGCAGCATTGTACTGTATACCAATATACACTACTCAAAAAAAATTAAAGGATCAGATATTTGTCTTTGAAAATTTCAGCCAGGTGTGTACCTCATTGACTTCACTTATTGTACACTGAAGTTCATGTTCATGCTTGGTTGAGCACCATAGACGTGACAGAATGTGAGACAATGCAACTGCTTAGTTGTGTTTCAGAGCCCAATTAGCTGGAAGGGTCAAAAAGCATTGGGTGATGTGTATTGCTTAGGTATAGCACAACTTCAAAATGGTCACCTTTCATTCTCTTTGCTCATGGAATGACTCTGAGGCAAGGGGGTGAGAGACTGGGAGTGTCTCAGAGAGTTGGGGGGGTACAATGACATGAATGAGACTGGCCAGTACCATACAACCCTATCGTTGTACAATAATGTACATGCATGTGTCTCACTTCAGGACATTTTGAGAAAAAGTGACTGAAATATTGGACCTTATACCATTTTGTGTTTAGGTTTTGGAAAACTGTGAAGCTGTTTTGTTTTTAATGCCCTGACAACCATAAATTAGATTTTTTTTGTAGAAATCATCATATTTACAGATAATTATAAAAATATGTGATTTGGGGGAAGATTTGCAAACAGATACATGTCAGACATTGCATTATTTTACTGAATAAAAGGGTCTCAATGGTTACATGTAATTTTTTCATGTGGAGATAGATACATCTTCAAAGTGCTTCATTTCTGTGATTCAAAATCACAAATAGTGCCCTCACATTACTTCGATATCATACCTCATAAACATTGCCCTCGTATTACCGTGATATCATTCTAACTCATCAACAGCGCCCTCACATTACCACAATAACATTCTAACTTGTAAACAGTGCCATCACATCATTTTCAGGGCCGTAAAGGACCTAGACAAGGTGCTGACCGAAGTTTTTTTTTTCAGCGTCGTGAGACTTCAGTACTCTGTCGTGGAAGTTTCTTGTTTTGATGCCAGAAAATAGCCACATTAAATGATGCTTGTTTTTGCGATGTGAATACCTCTTGTTTAAATTATTGATCACTACATATGATCCTTTGAGTAGAGTTTAAATGCAGATAGACTTGCTCCATCATTAAGGTGGAAGCAAGGAACTGCATCTCTGAGAAGACTTAGTCCTTTCCTTGCCTTTTTGGGAATCAGTGCCTAAGATTCTGATGAGGATCCCTCATGCAATCTTGGAAACTGTTCCTCCTCAGTGATGGAGGCGAGGACTGGCATCTATCTGAGTTACTTCCTCTCCTTGACAATCTCATGAATCATCTCTGTGAAGTCCCATAGGATCTTGTCCTCCTTCCTTCTCTCCAGGTTGACGGAGGCGAGGGCACTCTTCTCATCAGCATCATGGTCAGCTTCTCCTGGGGCATACCCACACCTTTCATATGAGGAGGTCTGGGGAAGAAATTAATCACAAAAGGAAATAAGTTGCAGCAGGAATTGAGGCATTTCTTAAAAAATTCCAGGATCCTTGTATGCTCCTTGTTTTTACACCTTTTATTTCATTAACCCTAACAGTACCAGGCATTGTTGGGCTAAGAGTACTCAGTAATACAAAATGCTACGTAACACTCTGAGCCTGAAGGACCTAGTGCTACAAATTACTACTTCTGGCTAGATTACTTCCATTGTTACTGTTACAGGGAACAATGAAATCATGCATTCATGGTCCCACACCAGTGCATGGTACATTGTCTTTACTATTATATTTTATGGCTTCAGAGAACAATAATGTCATGTCCTCTTACAAGCAACAGGGCTGAGTACTACATTTTACTACTAAGTAGTACTTTGTAGCATTCGGGACTGTTAGGGTTAAAAAACTGTTTAGTGTCTATTGCTTTTCATCCATTTTCATATCAGAAAATGAACTATGACAGGAGGATTCAGTTGACTCTGCTGACCAATTTTATTACTTCTGAAAGGGTTTAACCTCATCCCTATTGTCTTGCTTGGTTGACACAATGCACACAACCAGCTCTAGGTCAGGGTTCCTCTAAAACCTAGCCACAAGCACCCAAGGGTGGATCCAGGACCCAGGTTTTTGGGGGGAGCAGGGACAAACTTGATTCTGGGGGCCAATTTTTTTTTTTAATTTTCAAACTAAATAGACCAAAAGACCCTTTCATTTTTTTCAAATGACCCCAACTGGCCCCTCCACCCTTTCACCGATTCATCCTTGCAGAAGGCCGGCAATGATATGAAACACAGGACTCTTACCTGTGCTACTTATGAGGTAACCTGCCTCTTCGCTTTGGAGATTTCATTGGTCAGTCCACTCGCACCATGTAGGCAGTATATTCACCTGGTAATGAGGCCTTCCCAAATCTAAACTCGGGGAAAAATGACAAAAAAGCACGATGGAAAGGTCGCCTAAGGTTTTTCAGTCACACTGTAATAATAATTTTCCCCCAAATGAGCAAAACTTAACAAATTGTGAAAACTCTGGCTGTGTGAGTGGAAATTTCTTGAAGAACCTCTGAATTTTACCCCTAAGATTTGGNTGGGGGGGGGGTGGGAGGGAGAGGGAATCTACCTCCCTTTAACATATTTTCCAATATTATCAAGGTGCAAATTTTCCAGAAGCCTTCTGGTGTTTTTTTGAGTAACTCCTTTTGGTAATTCTGATACCATTTTTGTGAAAATCCAACAAACCGTTCTTAAACAGCACCTTTTTCCGAGAGAGGTCAACCAAGAATGTATACTTTTCTGTTGCCATTCCCAACTTCCAAGTGACTGTCAAACCATATGACAGATTGAGATGAAACTTCAATGTTTGTATTGAGAAGGAAAGTTTATAACAAAATCCAGCATTGGACAGTCCAATTCTTGGGGGATTGCCGCGGGCTGTAAGGTGGTCCAATGTAACCAAGCCCTTTTAGACTTAAGACGTTAGGAAGTACCAGGGCCAAATCTACTTGCAAAAATTAATTTCTTCACAGATGGCAAATATGATTAACAAGTGACAGCTTTTGTACCTGTTGTTTTCTCCATCCACTGTTCTTGTTCCTCATCACTGTCAGAGTGGCTGTCACTTGGGTCATCATTAGAATTGAGTCTCTTTTGAGCCCGCTTCTTGAGAAGAACAAAAAGGAGATAAAATACGGATGTCATCACTGATTCTAGGTGTTAACTTCAGCAGTGAAAACAAACAGTGGTAAATGTAAGCAGTATCTTCCTTAGTGGAAAGCTGCACTGAATTGTTGACTTTGTCAGACAAAGGAAGTCACAGTACAAAGGTTTTGTATAGAATTGTTCATTTTGTTTCTGATATCTAGGGCCTTTTTACACACAGTCTTTAGACAAAGTACATGTACTTACCTTCTCTGTCTGTGCTACAGCAAACACCAGAGTCATCTTCATCATTTTCTGTGAGGCCAAACTTGTCGGAGCTGACAAAGTGTAGACAAAGTAATGATTATTTAAGCAGCAAGACATAAGGAAAGCATAGAAAGACGGTGGTTCCTAGAAACCTTTCCGAATCCTAAAACTCCTCCCCAGTATGATTCATTCTACAAAATTCTACGGACACATCAAGTCCCATTTGAATTCAGAAAGGCTGGGCTGGGCTCTACCTTCCTCAATCTTCCACAAATCTCCTGGTAGATTTTGAAGGATCTGGGAAGGTTGGCATTAAGACACACGTAATAGTATGGGGGAAAATGAGTAAACTTACAGGGATAAAGTTTACTTTCTCAATCCAGCTTTTCATTGAATAACCTGGTGCTGGGAAGGAACTTACTCAGGTTCTGTGCTCTCCACTGATGCTGCCCACCCATTGGTCACTTGCTATATCATCTACTCTTAATGACTTCCTCCTGCAATAAAAACAAAAACATGCATCACTTCAGCTTTTACTGTTGTCACAGCAACATCCTTCATTTAGTGTTGAAGTCCCCTAACTGTGCACCCCCTAACTTTGGTGCAGTTTGATTTTTTGCCTCCAGTGCCTTGCCGGAGCAACATTTTTACCTCAAATTAACAGACATTTCATCCAACTCCAACTAATCTAATTCAAAACTCCGGAATTTACTCACTCACTACAACTTTCCAATAAACTTTATATTTTGGCTCAGTTTTCCTATTTTTTTTTCCGTTCAGAGCAAAATGGACATTTCTAAACCAGCCCAAAAATTAAAAATAATTTTTCAACAAACTTTTAAGTGTATGTAAATTGAGATAATAATAGAAATTATCCAGTATACAGAACTTCTCAAATGTTCATGTGAGGTTTTGGGCAAATTTTTCTAGTGTTTGGTTATGCAATGCTATCTGTATTTTGAATCCAGCCTTTGAGGTATATCGATGACCGGTGATGCAAATTTTCATGCGAGAGCAAGCTTAAAGTACCTAGCTACATGTATAACTCTTGAAAACTGTGTAATTAACGCCAGTTTTTAGACTTTAAGACTAATCTTATTTTGAAAAATTGGAGGCTTTACTCACGCATCTCCCATTTTCTTCTCAACAATGACACTGCACTGAACAATCTGTGTGCATCACAGGCTCAGTGCCCAGGCACGGGCTAATTGCCAATTTAGCAAGGTCAGTTTGTCCATATATGGAGGAGGGGGTAGAATCTTATTTTTATCGCACGAGTGGTCTCTGAGCTGTGTGACTGGAGTGATACCATCAGGCCAAGTACTATGCTAGCTGTGGCAAGTTAAACGTTGCCATCTCCAAAAATAGTCGAAATGACACGCGGAAATAGCTCGGCTATACTGGCCCTTGGCTGTCGCTGCATGTGCTCTGTGTGATGCACACAAAATGTACAGTATGGTACAATCATTGGGAAGAAAACAGCAGAATGCGGAGGAAACCCTCAGTGATTTTTGGTGTAGAAACCTCCTTTAGCCTGGGTACCTCAAGCTTAATGGCTGCTGGCATTCTCAAAGGAAAATTTGATTGAAAAAAGCAGAATTTGTGACACTTATCTACTCCCAGAACTGAAGGGTCCGACGTCCACCCTGCTTGTGGACATTGGACCCAGCACAGACTCATGACAGACCGTAGACTTCAGGTAGTTTGCTATGAGTAACATGTTGCACTTCAGTACAACCTTCAACTCATTAAACTGTAAACTACTAAGTCAATCATGGAAACTTTCAGAATTCCATGAACAGAATGAATTTGCATGATTCCGTGCAAATCCTTTTGTATTTGGACAATCAGCCTACCTTTACCAACATACCAAGGAGCGTTCCAATTAAACCCTATCATGTCCTGTTTCCCATTTTGCGCATGCCGCGGCACCACAGGCATATAAAGGCGTAGACCACCAGTCTTGCACAGTAAAATAAAGTTAAAAATCAGGGAGGGGGGCTTGGACCAGGTCCTGGTAGCCAATTAAGTTCTCATTGTTTGAATCTGAGTCCAAGTCTAAGTTCCAAATCCTCTGATCTCCACAACAGCTGACAACAACTCAACACGGAAGTTCCTAGTAAATCAGGAACCAAGTTCTTAATTGACTTTTGTGTCAGGCTGAACTAAATAGGCTAACATACAATATATTTGTATGTTTATAAATAAAGTGTAGGCTACATGCAATGTTAGATTTCTGGAAATACTTATATGCCAAAGTTTGTCAAGCTGACAAGAAAAACTGGGATTTTGCCTTTTTATCAGTGGTAATTAGTGATGCATCCAAGTGCCTGGCCTTCCCAAATTACAAGGCCAGGCATCTCATGCACATGTCAGCTGGCCTACATGTGTAAATAAAGTGTACATGCAATGTCAGAATTCTGGAAATACATGTACTTTAATACAGGTATGCTAAAGTGTGCTGAAACTAGCTTGGAAGATTTTTATTCATGCTGCAGCCAAGTGCCTGCCTTCAAGAGTTGACAAGACTGACTTGACTTGGGACCAAGTTGACCCGAGATGGAGTTGACTCGGAGTGAGTTGATTCCAGACCAAGTTGGCAACTTCACACTGACTCTGATGAGTATACAGTGTGTGTACATTGCCATGTTTTGCTGGACCATATCCAAACCTTTAAAAAGGCAATTCGTAAGAGTCCAAGTTGCACAGACTATTACTGACTGATCTGCATCATCCTGATGCAGTCGCATCAATTATCATTTCAACAATTCAAATATGCACAGCATGCCAAAGTGAAGTTGGGCCTGTTGGGCTTGTATCATATTATGGGATGGCCTAGTATTACAGGGGAGCACAAATAATAGCACTGTGCAAGATGTGTGCAAAATCCCAGTGGGCATATAGGCCTACTAAAGTTACTCATGTCATTTTGACAGAAATGGGCCATGCACATGATGTACTGTAGCCAGTGGAGTGTAGGCATGCCTAGTGTTGATCCCAGTCCTGCATGTAGGATTAGTCTCAACATGGTCTTTTCCTTTATCCATGGTCTCCTCTCTCTCAACTGAAGAACTAGGCCTATGAATTTTATTCCTGTAAAGTGTGGAATAATAAAAGCAAAATCCATTGTACTTACTCCATCAATGTCATCACGTAGGTGTGCAGCGATTCCTCACAGACTAATTTCTTGATGATACACGAAGTCGCGAAATGAGCCAGATTACAGTGACCATCGTGCGCTCAGTATACCGCACAGGTGCACGTGTGCCACCGCATCGCAAATACATGTTTGCAGTGTGTCTGTTCGTAGTCGGTCCGCCATATATCCGTGTTCTGTAAAAGGGCTTTCGATGCAGTGTGAGTTTTGCCTAGTGACGTCATACACCGAGTGCCTGGCTTATAGCCATAGACGCGTACAGCACACATGCGACTGCGAAAATACAATACGTGTATGATAGCGGGAAGGAACAGAATCAATGTGACTGAACAAAGGAAAGGAACCAGCGTCAGGTGAGAGAAGAACGAGGACTTGACCTGGTTACAAAATCATAGTATTCTTACAATTGGGGTTCTCACAAGAATATGAAACGCATAAATGTGAAGCTAGCTTTGAGCTGAAAGGCCATCCTGATAGTCACTAGCTTGCAAAAGTTTTTAAAGCCAGATTCACGAACTAAAAAATCTGGTTCGCTGTGATTTTGTTGTGTTACAGCAGTTCACTGACTAACCCAAAGTCCAGTTGATATTCGAATAGTGTAGAATTTAGTAGGGTTTAATGGTGTTGATCCAAATCAGTTTGTGATATGTCAAAGATCGATACTGGCTTCTAATGACCATGTTGCATAAAATGGCTGAATATTACCAGTACTTTAAACTTCTTGCACTTTTGGCTTTATCATCTGTGTCAATACAGACATCCATTGCAAATATATATGTTGGGTATATCTTCAGGAAAACCTACGTTGGCAAGTGTCTCCATACGAGACCATGGCATGTACATGTATTGAACACTGGCTGTGGCTCTCCACTGCTGCCTCTTTTGATCAAAACTCGAAGCCCTAGTCACAGGGGACAGGACCAGATTATGGCTTCCCCTGTCATACGCCACCCCCTACAATCTCATGTATTAACTAAATTGGTACACTGGCAGTGCTGGGTGAACGTACGTGATTCATGATTACTTTGAACAACAATGCTATCCTGGAGCGTTCACATATCAGGCACATTGATACTGTTCAGGTTCATATCCAGAGCATACTACTCTGTAGTTTTAAGTTTGAGTGCTTAGCGAGTGACTGGTAATAATCATGGTGAAACAGAAATGAAATAAATCTGCAGATCCTGTCAGAAATTGGGAACAAATTTATACGTGTTTCAAAAGACAAAACTACTTATTCTTCCAACATGTAGAACAATGTCCCGGTAACTCTCAGAGAATTATCTAATAAGAGCTACACTGCTATGATCTGTTTCATTCTTAACCTGTCAACTATTTTTTGGTCCGTTTTCGAGATATCATCTCCCCAAACGAGTTTGACTCCCCACCCCCCCAAAAATTCAGTTCTGGATCAACCTTTGTCACTGCTGAGTACATACCATCAAATGCATAAGCCTATGCTCGGTCTTCCGTACATGTACATGTGGATGAACTCTGAACTGTTCTGACTATGTTATATTTCTCCTAGCTTGGTTGTTATGAGGCAAGCAGTGACCCCCGTGATACAAATGCACATTCTGGCCTTACCCTAGCAGGGTTTTCACAACCTCAGTTGAGGTAGCAGGCCTTGCCGGGTTTTCCAGGCCTGCGGTAGGCCTTCTAGGTCAACCAACTCTAAAACTGTGCCGACTACCTATGCAGAGGTCTTCCTAAGTCATCTTGGGGTCATGGCAGCCAGTATAACAAGACGACCTCCGTGTTTTGACCTCCAGTAGAGTCAGTACAACCCCTAACATTGGCCCATCTACCATGCAGACTGTCTGCTGTCCTCCTGGGTCGTGATGAGGTCGATGATGGCCTGCATGATCCGGCCCTCCTTGGTGTCTTGACGCCAGCAGGTCATCCCTGGTTGGCTGATCTTCTGTTGCAGCAGCTTGTCCAGTTCACACCGGAGATCCTGGCAATGTTGGGATATATCCACAAAAGTCAGCAATTTTCTTCTAGCACAGAGGTACATCTCTCAGGGCTTTGGGGTAAATGAAAAATTTTGTGGCTCTCAAAATGCCACAATGTTTTGTAATGTACGTGGCATTTTGCTTTTTAACCACTTGCAACCAGGGAGCCCAGTTTCAGGTACCTTGGATTTGTACGCATAGCCAGGGTGCCCGAAATTGGACGAAAGAGCTGGGCCTTGCAACAAAAGACTGTACTCTGAACAAAAGACTGAGCCGCTGGGAATTGCCAGCATTTTTTTACGTCGTCAATAGCGGAGGAAATCTGTCATTGTTTTGAAAGATTATACCACTGTTTGTGGCATTCAGAGCGAGCGGATTACCACGGGGGACAAAAGCGCTCCACCACTCAAGTGATGAGTGATACAATACTGCTGCACGCTTATCAGGCCCCTATTGAAAAGATGCCAGCAGCGCACTGTTCTAGTTTTGGGAACAAAAGAAACTTATGTAAAAAACCACACAATCTGAGCTCTTTTTACAAAGTGGCAGGCCTCGCTGAAATACTCTGGCATCAATAGATGTTGTCTGTCAGATCAGAGTAGCCACCAGACAGTCACTCAATGGGGTTTAGGCATTCAGGAAAAGAAGACATGAATTTTCGAAGATTTTTGAAAATCGAAGATACTGAAAAATTGCCCGGTTTTAAACACAGTACTTCCAAAGGCACCTGGCATTAAGTGGTTAAATTGTTAATATCTGGAGTGCTTCAAACCAGTTAGTACAGTGCACAGCTTAACGTTAACATGGAAGGCAAAACTACAGCACTCACCAGAACAAAAAATTGGTGCTGATTGAGTGAGCAGAGTAAGGTCCATGGAATACTAGTGCCTAGGGCTCATACCTGCATTGTCATACATCCTAGTAAAGTCCAATATCGCTATAGTGACCTCATCACTAGCCCCAAAACAAATCAATGATGCATCATCCAGCTCCTCATAAAAATCAAAGGCATGTTTCATGTTACTGGACACGTGACTGCGCTTGTGAGTTACCTTGCTTGTGCTGCACTTGTCATGTTCTCAACTACAATGACAAGCAAGTTAAACACTGTTCAAAACAGCATCCTCGGACGTTCCATTGAGGACCCCATGTTTGAGGACAGGGAATCAGTGATGGCTTACCTTGACTAAACGGGCTATTCTGGCCGGGGCGGAGAATTTGATGTAATCGTCGACGGTGATCATCTCCAGCCCTTCCTCTTCGGTGACACCGATCTTCCCGCCAAAGAACAGGAGAGGGTAGGGCTCTACAGCACTGGTGTCATGGAGAAACACCTGTGGGGGAGGGGAAGACAGAGGAACTGACAACAAACTTGGAGCAAGGATGGCTCATGAGGGGTGTCGGCGGAGGTGCACTCGAAGAAGTTAAAGGGGGTGAACTCAACAGCAGCCGTGTGCACCAGAGTGCACAAAGCAGGAGAATGACCACCAGGGGCCAATTTCACAGTGCTGCTTGAGCAAAAAATTTGTTTGAGCTTGAAAAAACCTTGCTGGACAAATCAGGTTACCAGCCCAAACGTTTTGTGATGTATATTGTTTTGGAATGGTATTTACCTGTCTTTTGGTTAGCATGACAATTATGTAGAGTTTGAAATGGTAAACTTTGTATATTAAGCAAGGTTTTTTCGTGCTTAAGCAAGTTCTGTGCTTAAGCAGCTCTAGGAAATTGGCCCCAGGGGGTTACATCAAACCGCACGTTTACCGAATCCAAGTGTTCGGGAAACACCACCCAACAGGTGCGAATGTCAGATGCACGTCTAATTACTCTCAAATATGTCACTGCAAGGTTAGTATCCATCTCACCAGAGTGCCAAAGGGCAAATGTTCCTTTCCCCTAAAATTTTTATTAAAGGAAGTGTTTCTACCTTTAATTTGTATGAAACAACAGTAGCTCCGTCAATCTCTGAACCGGAGTTATGACCGCAGGACTGGGTTTTTCAGCAGCGCGATGATTTTCAACCAATTCTGCCCTTCACTAGTAAAATGCACATACATTTTATACGTGGAATTCTTTTACAGGCACCCGGCCCAAAAAAATGGAACCAGGTTTTGATATCGACAGGTTCACAGGCCTGAGTGACAGGCCCATACATGCCAGTTTCATCCACTTTGGTCAGATCTCTTTGAGTCAACGAAAGCCACGTCCTTCAGACAGCCACACACAATGTCCAACAAGACTGACTTGTAACACAGCAAGCCTACAAATATTCGCTTGTAGGAACCACCTCATAGAGGACATTTTTCACATATCATCCTGCCGCTAACCACACATTTATTACAACTATACCTCATGCATATTCATGATCGAATACTGAAGTCTAATTA